ATCATCATCTCTAAATCTAATAATCTCTCTTCACCATGTAGCTCATCTCTCAAGTAAATGCACACACAAATAATCCAAATGCACACAAACACACTACATCAATTGCAGTATGGATCTTTGTTTCTGTTTGTAAATACTAAATTTGAGAGCGCAATTCAGCAACTATTTTAGAGGATGGGCAATTTCCTCCAGTTTTCCATTTTCCTGTCATACTCTGATTATTTTCTGCATCATTTTTTTTTAAAAAAAGCAACTCAAAAATATAGATAATATATTTCTGCAATATATACAATTTGTATGAATGTTTTCCAAGAAATGAATTATTTGAAAGCTATTTCTCTCATATAATGTAGTTTGTGCTTCTTAAGCTATGTATATATAGGCACTTTTGTAAATATTTTGGTGTTCCAAAGGAAAACTAAAAGTATTTTTGCACTAAATATCACATTCAATACTTGGATATGTAAACTGCAGTTCCAAATTAAAATTATATGGCATTAAAATTAATTATGTCCAAATTAAAATGTATGCTCCCTACCTTTACAATTGATTTCTGCATACAATTCCACTGGCTTTGAGTGTTTTAATAAAAGACTTGTTTATACAGAGACAGAAAATTCTATTTTTAAGAACAGGGATAGAATTGATAGTGCAATTCTATATATTCATTTCAAAATAAACTCCAATGTATCCAATGAGTTATAACATATGTTGAGCAAGTGCTAATATAATCAATTGCATTTTACTTGAGGGCAAGCCTACTTGATAAAATGGAATATAATTAATTGTAATAATTACCCTTCCTAAAAAAAAAACGACCGTTCTCTCTACTAACCATAATTAAAAATGTAATCAAAATAGAAAATCGCCACAAAGCAATTATAGTGACTATAAACCTTTGCATTATGCAACATTCAGAGTTATTAGCTGACACCACTTTTTTGACGTAAAATTAATAGTAAGTTGAAAGATCAATTTACTACAAAAACTGATTTTTTTAAAAAAAAACAAAAAACAAAAATGAAGCAAAGGTTCAAAGAAACGGTCAATGAACAGGACTAAATAGATTAAGAATCAAGATCCAAAGAGTCTTTACATTTTGACACTGGATGCAGAAAAGACAGGTATTTATAAAACTATAAATTAATGGCCTAATGACTTACCTAATTTTAACTGTGTTCCAAATCTGTTACCTGAAAACACGTGAATACATGCTACCTAATGGTGTGACCATAACAGCAAACAGTAAATCAAGAGATAAATGGGAAAAATAACCCAAACATTACGAAAGTCAAAGCATCAGGCCTCAGATGAGAAATGCCCAAAGTCTGATGTAAACATTTCCAAATCTTCCCAATGCATCCATGTCAGAAAATTTAATTGAATCCACCATCTTTTGGAAAGGCATTTTTGCCTCATTACAATGTTTTAGTCAGTTCTTTAGTCAGTTATTGTTTACAGAATCTTCATGTGACATTGACCATTATATCATGAACTGTCACCAGCAATATGCATCATGAAGCACCCAACATATTCTATTTGGTACCAACTCTCCCTTGTTATGTAAGTACTAAAGATGTTGGTACTACAAAACCAGATTTCAGGAAAACATCATTATTTTATTCTTGATCAAAAATACAAGTTCTCAATTCTGTTGTCTCTGATCAAGAAAAGAAAAACGCCATTTAAGTATAAAACTTGACTCCTATTAATTGTTTAACACCACACAAAGCCCAATGACAGTGTTAGAAGACCGCATCCTAAGTGAGTTTATGGTGGTGCATCGAAATTACACACTGTAATTCTGTAATTCTTTCACAAACTAGTTATTAAAGCATTTGTTGAGCTAATTATTCGCGGAAGAAACGTTTGGCAGAGTTGGAGAGTTGTGGAGAGTTAAGGGCATCAGTGGAAATAAGGCAAAGTGGGCAACACTATCCACACCCAAGGGTGGAGCCAGGATATTCCTTCTGTTTATTGATTCGGGATCTGGTTGCTACCCCCCCCCCCCCTTGGTTAAGCTAATATTACAGCTTTCGGTCACTTCCTATTTCAAAATGGCAGGAAACCACAGCACAGGTCAACAACAATCTTAGCACTGATTTCAGCACTGCAATTATAGCAACTCTGGGGAATGGTTATTGAAAAGGCAGTGGGGCTGTCTTCAGTTCACCATTTCTTCCCTGAAAAAAATAATTTATTGTATTTTTAAATAAAGGTGATAAGTTACTAGAACTTATACTTGTGATGAAGGGGAAAGTTATTTCTTTATATATTTCTTTTCTTATTTTTTCTTTCTTTTCTGTTTTCTATTTCATTTTTGTACCTTCTTTTTTATCGTTGCATTAGTTTTCTTCTCATTATAGTTGTACTTTTTAATAAAATCACTATTATTATTTTTTTAAAAGAAAAGAAGGCAATGTATCACTATAGAGGACCCTAAAAGAGGCAAATTATCCAAATCCCATGCAGCCAGAGTTCAAGACTCGTAAAGAGAAGGAACCACTCACATGGATAACCTTCATCAGCACTTGGATGAAGCACATCTTTCTTCATCCTGCATGCTCCCTCACTGCACCCTCACTGACATATGACATCATCAACCATGGTATCCTGCTACAACAGGTAAGAATAGGTTCAACTATTTTACAGTGATTCCAATCATGCCTGACTGGGCAAGTGGACAATTCCAGTTACTAATCATAGGGTATGAGTGGTCAAGCCTTTGGTTGCTCCATTTTTTGAGTTTCCATTGGGCTTGGCCCTATAGAATTTACCATTCTATAAAAACACTGGGAGAGGTTGGTCCAGTATGAGGGATTATTAGTATCTTTATGACACTCAAGTGCGTATCGCAATTTTGGCTTGAACTAGAGATGCTGCAAAGAATCTTCAATTTAATTTGGCGAGAGTTCTCTCTATAGATGAGGAACAATAAAAGTAACTGCTCAGAAGAAATGGTACATGTCTTTCTTGGTTCTTGGGTTCCGATAGCAATCTTGACAAACTCAAGCACCTATTAGCATCATTATAGATATAGTCTGAGAATTGCAAAGGAGAATGTTTTTCAACTCTTTTTCTCCTGACCAAATTATCTAAATTTTACTGCCTCTTTGTCCTCTGGAATGTGGCCTCTCTATCCTGGGAATCCAGACTACGTTTTGCTACAGTTTAAGAAACAGGGAGTTGGATCTAAATGTCCAGATCTTGCCTCTCAACCACTCGATTCACTAGCTGATTGCAAAACCTCCCATTTCACAAACTTCTTGCAAGGAACAGCTGCCTGGAGGCCAAATAGGTTCATTCTCCTTCAATGTGGAGAATTCTTCAGGCTGCAAGGGTCTTGCCCGAGCCTCAGGTAATCGTGGTGCCGATTCCCATTGCAAGGGAGCCACTCAAGCCACCATTTCCCCACCAAAAGCAAAACAACCCCAAGTGGAAAAAAAAAATCTCAAGATGTAGAGGGGCAGTATCATTTTAAATATGTTTCCATTTTCCACTCATATTCTAAAAGATTCAAAGGGGTCATCCTAATTTATTACAATAGATTTCTTTGATATACACGCCTTAGGTTTATGTGCTGGATTAAAATTAAAAAAAAATTATTCTTGCAAAAAATAAAATACTAAAAGATTTTTTTTTTAAAGAACACATTCTAACCTTTAAGATGACTTTATCCTTTAGAACACGGGTGTCAAACTCGCGGCGTTCTGTTGCCATCATGTGATGTATTGCGACCCTTCATGGAGCTGGGGTGGACATGGCCTGCGCGTGACACATCCGGCTCACGGGCCGCCAGTTTGACACCCCTGCTTTAGAAGGTTACTAAATCCATAATTTTTTTAAAAACGACCCTGATAAGCAACTTATAGAGCAGAACTGGATAGAAATGCCCCCATTTCTATGTCTGTTTCCCTATTGCTTAAGGCTATTTGAAGAAAAGGTTTTTATTTTTGGATTATTATTATTACTGCAACTATAAAACCAGAGCATCATAATTTTATCACATTCTGTGGAAGGGGTATTTGGAATAAAAAGGTAGCTTTTGCACACTCCATGATCACTTCTTTATTACAATTGATCCCTAGATACACCTGCATAGGAGGACAACCTTCACTGTTTACAGGGCATTCCTATATGTGTTTTCTCAGAGCTAAATGTCAGTGTATTCGAGGGTGTTTATTGAGATATGCATGCATATAATTGCTGCCTAAAAGGATGCAATAGAATCCAAATCAAGTGTGTCAGTCTTGGAAACAAATGATTTAACCTGCTGAAGTTCTTGATAAATTGTTTCCATCACCAGTGGGACACCTGTGCTTGCTGGGGCTGGTGGGAGCTGATGTTAGTAACATATGGAAGATCACAAATCTCTCATTTCTGCCTTACAGTCATGAACCATTTCATTTGAAGAAAGAGATTTTTTCCTTTTTATAATAAGCCATCTTTCCCATAGTGCTCCTTCTCTGCGGTTTTATTTGAAACTTGACCGAATAAGCCCTAAACATTATGTACCTGGAAAATATATGAATATATATGAAACCCAATCGCAGAGGCCAAGAGAGAACAGGAAGAACTATGTACTTTCCATCAACTCCCCTACTCTTAAATTTTAAGCCTTGCTGTTTGCCTTTCTTCTTTTCGTTTTATTTTTTGAAAGCTCAGAGTTAAATATGTATTTTGGATATTATGAAGTATGCTGATCAGCATGGCATTTTTTTTTTCAGTTTTTCCTTATTATAAATTAAATGTTATGGCAATACTATAGAAGACATCGTACCACTTAAATGAATTCCATCATAATCATTTGGATTGATTGTAACTGACAAAGCAATAAAAATTGAATCACAGTACCAATAATGCTGCATGGGATACATACACATACACACATCCCTACATATATACATCCCTACATATATATGCATATGTATTGTATGTGGATTTGTGTGTGGGTGTGCTTGTGTACTTTTTTACAAAACTATAATGAAATATTTTCTTACCTGGAGATATTATGTAGAAAAAATCTTTAAATTCATCCATCCACACTTCTGCAAGTCTTCTATTATTTTTGTTAATTACATGACCAGTGCCACCAGGAAATGTATAAGGAGTAGCTTTTCGAAAAACATGACCAACATGTGAACACGTTACAATCTCCAGGGAGCCTCCACACTGCCATATCTGAAATTTCAAAAGTGTATCAAAATCAGCTTCATTTTCAAGCATCTAATTAAATCTTAGCTGCTGCATTAAACTGGAAGGGCCACAACTGCAGCAATTAGTAAACTAATGTTAGCAATTAGCAAAGCTATCCAAAGCTATCCATCTGAGTCAGGTATTCTGCAATGCACAGACGTTCAACGCATCTCTTTTTGATTCATAACCATAACTGTATCTTTTGCAAGCTGTTCAAAATAAAAGCATGCAGAGTCACACAGGGATAACTTTTGAAGCAGCTTCCCTAATCTTGCAAAAGATCCTGCTGCTTTAATGTCTCAAAAAAAATAAATAAATCCATTTTTGGAACACTGAGGTGCACCAGCTACATAGTTGTCCACAGGGACCAACGGGGACATCCATCATGTTATCCATATAATCATCAAAGGAGGAACAACAGAAAATGGTATTAAGATTGCTCTACGGATGTGAAAATTGGACTCTGAAGAAGCATGATAGGAAGAGTATTGATATTTTAGAACCTTGTTGTTGGAGAGAATGCCTAAGAATACCACTGATGAACTGATGGATCATTGAACAAATTAATTCAAAGTTCTCAATCGAAGCACAAATAACCAGGCTCAAATTATCCTACTTCAGACACATTATGTGAAGGCCCAACTCTCTGGAGAAAGCTCTAATGTTAGGAAAAGGAAGAGAAGGACCAGCAACATTCAATCAACTAATGGAACAGCTTGGCTTTGGAAGTTGTGGGAGCTTCATCACTGGAGGCTTTAAAGAAGAGATTGGACTGCCATTTGTCAGAAATGGTGTAGGGCAGGGGTGCCCAAACTTTTTGCAAGGAGGACCAGATTTGGTGAGGTGAAAATGTGTGGGGGCTGACCATTCAGCCTGACATTCTTTGAACCATTAACATTAAATGCAAATGAACTATTTTATGAAAGACTAAACAAATAACTTAACTGCACTAATGTGAAGGGTGATACTGAGATCTCGAATGCATTATATAGGCCATTATATAGGCTCAAAAACAATGGTTTTGATGCGCAAGATGTCACACAGGTGAAAGTCACTTAGTCTCGTCCTCACGCCATTCTTGTTAATATTCATAACTGAGAATGTCTTCTCGCACAAGTATGTCAAACCAAACAAGCTTAGCATTTTCTTAGCAAATGTTTGAATCTCTTGGAACCTGTCTTTATCTAGCTGCAGGGGTGAAATGCTCCTGGTTCCGACCGGATCACCCGATCTGGTAGCGATGGCAGTGGGTTGTTCGGAGAACCAGTAGCAAAAATCCCTGCCCCACCCCCATGCCCAGCTGAGCCACGCGATCATCAGAGGCTTTTGTTTTTATTTTTAAAAGCATTTTTTCTACAACCTCTTCAGCCGAAAAAATGCTTTTAAAAGTAAAAAAAAAAAAAAAAGCCTCTGATGATCGCGCAACTCAGCTGGGATCATCAGAGGCTTTTAAAAGCATTTTTTCTACAACCTCTTCAGCCAAAGAGGTTGCAGAAAAAATGTTTTTAAAAGAAAAAAAGGCCTCTGACAATCAGGCAACTCAGCTGGGATAGTCAGAGGCTTTTAAAAGCATTTCGGCCAAAGAGGTTGTAGAAAAAATGGTTTTAAAAATAATAAAAAAAAATGTTGGCCATGCCCACCCAGTCACATTACCCCACCACCACCAAGCCACAGGACCGGTAATAACAAATTTTACATTTCACCACTGTCCAGCTGGCAGTAAAAGTTGACAAGAGGGAGCTGTTGGTGCCGACTGCGACACTCGGAGTCACACTGCAGCTCAATGAGGTCCAGCTGCAGGTGGTCTGGAGCGTCATCTGGGTCCATAGAGAAAGGAGAGGAAAAAAGCGTGATCTCCTTTTCAATAGCTGCAAAATCCCGAAAGCGCTGTTGAAACTCCTCAGCCAGAGATGAGATGTCTGCTTCGTACCTCCTTATTTGCGCACTCATATTGTTCTGTGGAAAACTGGTCATTATTTCCTGCAGCGATGGGAAATGTGTGGTATTGGGCTGCGTTTGTATCAGGTGCCTTTGGAAAAGTAGCAGCTTGGTCCCAAAGACTTTGATATGTGAATACAGTTGGCTTACCACTGCATTTTGGCCCTGAAGGCTCGTGTTCAGCATGTTCAGATGTTGTGTTATATCAACTAAAAATCCAAAATCAGCCAGCCGAACAGGATCAGATAGCTCGGGCATCGGTTGTCCCTTTTTTGCCAAAAATTGTCCGATTTCCTCCCTAAGAGAGTAGAAGCGCTGCAGTGCAGACCCCCGACTGAACCATCTTATGGTTAGATGGTTGTGATACACAACATCTTAGATGTTGTGATACACAACATCTCCATTTCAGCCTGGATGTCGAGTAGAAACTGGCGGTGGCACAGGGCTTTGGAGCGAATATAATTAATAGCCTTCATCACCAGTTTCATAACATGAACGTATTTCAGATGTTTGGCACAGAGAACTTGTTGGTGAATAATACAGCGGAGTTTTATAGCTTTGCCTCCTTCTTCGCTGACTTTGTTACAGATTAGTTGATAATCTACTTCGTGCACCAGCCATGGCAGCTGCGCCATCCATAATAATCCCAGTGACTTTATTCCACAGTAGTTTCATGTCATCTACAGTGGAACAAACCGAAACAAATAAATTCCTCTTTTTTGGTCCTTAAGCCTCTGGAGGTCAAGTAGCTCTTCACTCACGTTCATGTCATTGTCCATTCCTCTCAAAAAAAATCAATAACTGAGCGGTGTCAGATGCATCCGTGCTTTCGTCGCAGGCTAACAAAAAAAAGTCACACTTCACTCCTTTTGCCTCTAACTGTCTCTTAATATCAGATGAAACGTCTTCAATTCTCTGTACCACAAACATTGGCAAACTCTTGCTTCTTCTCAGGACAAATTTTCTCCACCATTTTCATCACACAGTCTTTAATAAATTCACCCTCAGTAAAAAGGTTTGCAGTGCTTGGCAATCAGCGTTGCCACCTCGTAGCTCGCTATTGTGGCATCTTCATTTGACTCACTGGCTCTTGTGAAAAAGCGCTGTGCCATTAAAGCAGCTTCCAGTTCCTTCAATTTTTCACTGCGTTCATTCCCAGTTAGCTTGTTGTAGTTAGCATGTTTCGTCTGATAGTGCCTCTTGATATTGAATTCCTTGAAAACAGCCAGAGTCTCTTGGCAAATTAGGGAGACAGTTTTTTTCATATTTCAGTGAAAAAAATACTCCAATTTCCACTTGTCCTGGAAACGGCGGCCCTCACTCTCAACTTTCTTTTTTTTTAGTTACAGTCGCCATTTTAGAAATGGGCACACAAGCTCACAAGGGTCACGCAGCGAGAGTGCTGACTCAGGTCTACTGACATCTTCTAGTGAAAAATATGGCTGAGATGCTCTGCAGAGCAGGGTGGCTGTGGAGCAGGAGGCAGCAGGAGACAGCTGCAGGAACTGCTGCGCGGTGAAGGGAAAAACACTGGCTGGCGGGGATGAGTGACAGGCTGAGCCAGCGGAGAGAAGAGGCTGTGGGCCGCTTGAAATTTGAACACGGGCCACAATTGGCTCCCGGGCCGGACTTTGGACATGCCTGATGTAGGGTCTCCTGCTTGGACGGGGTGTGTGTGTTGGAAAAGATGACCTACAAGCAGTGGTGAAATCCAAATTTTTTTTACTACTGGATCTGTGGGCGTGGCAGGGGAAGGATACTGCAAAATCTCCAATCCCACTCCACTCCAGGGGAAGGATACTGCAAAATCTCCATTCCCACCCCACTCCAAGGAAAGGATATTGCAAAATTCCCACTCCACTCCAGAGGAAGGATACTGCAAAATCTCTATTCCCACCCCACTCTGGGGCCAACCAGAGGTGACATTTGCTGGTTCTCCGAACTACTCAAAGTTTCCACTACCGGTTCTCTAGAACATGTCAGAACCTGCTGGATTTCACCCCTGCCTACAAGGTGCCTTCCAACTCTGTTAATCTGTTAAAGTAGATGGACTCAGTTACAGTAGCTATGGGTACACTGCTGGAAGGCTTAAAGATTCAGGCTGGGAACATCCTCCTTCAGAAAACCTATGTGGTTCCTAAGAATCAGTGATAACTTGATGACAGAATAATAATAATAATAAAAAGTAACAATCTTGAAACCTGGCTATACTTTCCCCTTCCCTCCTCCTTATACCTTGTCTGAGTTTCTTCCTAATATTCTTTGTTTACCAAGTTTCAAAGCTTGTTTATATGTATGTTGTTGAAACTGTGTCTGCAGAGTTTCTCCAAGGTTATCTCTGTGCCTCTCCACAAAATGATGCAGTTCATATTTCCAGTGCTGAATCTCTAAAAGTTTATCAGTAATGTAATGCATTAAAGGAGAAACAGGAAAGATTTCTTATTTATTTACATAGCATGTCATTAGCCATTAGACAACTCTGCTCTCCTTATCTTCCCTGCCCATTCCTTCTGCAGGAAGGTACACAAGAATTATCACTGAAGTCTACTGAAGTCCTCCTCCCTGACCACTGCCACCAATAGCCTGGGTGTGTGTGTGTGACAACAGAGGAGGAAGACTGCCAGAATCCCATTCAGCTAGACTTTCCCTCCCTCTCTCCCTCCCTCCCCAGCCATGGCCAACAAACACTTTCTGGGAAGGAGCTACAAATTTGTTTCACCAACATTTTTCTTGCATTTTTATTTACAATTCTTTCCATTCATTACCCTCTGTTTTGGGATGGTTGTTATGCAGCATTTGAATAACCGCAATGAACAAATAGGCCTTTAATAGTGATCTGATTTTGCCTCAGGCAACTTCATCTTAATAAATACATTGTCACATTTACATCCCATTAATACCAGAAAATCATAAAATTAAACGCCACTGCAGAAAATACTGGTCTTATACTTGACTCATAGAAAATATGTTATCTGATCAAATGTTATGGAGATTCTTTTAAAAAATTGTAGAAGGCGTAAGCGAATGGTTTGGGCCATTGTATAATG